CATCACTGGTGTCTGCACTTGTGCAGCCAAAGAGCTGACTTCAGTGACAAAGTAGCCTGCCATTTGGCATCCCGGCAGCACAGCCCTGCTAATAGTAGCAACCTCTGCTTAATGTCCTGACACTAATGAATTCATGGAATTAACTTTCGGAGCTGAAAAAACTGATAAAAGAAACAGAATTTCAGTGGAGATTAGGTGGAAGGAGCTAGATGGGTGTTTTTCTCCTATCTTACCTCTGCCAGCGCGCTCGTTGCCGTTGTCATGCTAACGCACGCTTCGAGAGGCTGTAAGCTTTCAGCTGAGCATGTAAATGAACAACACAAGTGTGAATTCTTTGAGATGCACCACTGAAACCAGAGAGCCGTCCCAAGTATTCTGTCTCCCAGCGTAGAACAGAAAGTCTAATGGTGACGGCCTGGTTTTTTCGGTGTGATGGGTCGAGTGATATTTAGTGGCGGGAACCTAGATCAGCAGCTAAAAGGCAGATGTACAGCCACAGACTGATATCACAATCAACAATCACCTGCCTGCAAACACTGCAAACCCCAGATAGGACTGGCTGCTGCCCCAGAGCAGGGCTGGGGGCCGTGGTGATAGTGACGATGAGCCGCTCAGACAGAGATAGTGACCCAGACCTATCAACACTCGCAAGCCCCTCTGTTTTGTAATGGTCCCTCTGAGTTCATCCAGAAGAGATCCAGTCAGGTACAATGTACAGGTGATCAGTCTGAAGATTGGACATAACTGCTCATCGAGTTTTGATTTTTTTCCGATAGTGAAGATAGTGAATATAGACAAATCGTAAATATGACTCTTTTCTGCTTGAAAGGTGTCTGATAAAGGATTTTGAGGCGCGGCCATCGGTGACCCACCTACTGGAGCACCCGTTCATCAAGCAGGCCCACGGCAAAGATGTGGCCCTTGGCCAGCAGTTGGCAGCTCTGATTCAAGAGCAGCAGGAAGTGGGCTGCAAAACCAAAACCAAGTAAGTTTGCATGTGGAAATCCCCCCCGTGCAGAGTGCACATGCAGTGGAGATAAGCATCGCTCCTTATGGGTGCCGGCGTCTGCCTCAGGTGAGGGATCGGATCGTGTGCTGGTTTTGTTTGTGTCCAGTAGGGGGCAGCGTCTCATCTTCTTAGGCTCAAACACAGACTGAGGAGAGACACAGTAATGGACATTACAGTATGTGATTAAAGAGAAGCTGGAGGAGTGTGACTAATTCTTCAAGAGTGATTGTGCTGACTAACCTTAGACTGATAAATCCCATTCAGTCCATCTTACTTACTTACTCTGTCATTTTAATTAAACCAAGGACCGAATAAAGAAATGGGTAGATTTACTAATTTTTCTATTATTTGCATTTAAAGCAGTTTCCATCAGTTAGCATCTCTATTTCACTCAAGGTACTGTTAAAAGAGATTTAGTGGGACTGATTCTGGCCCATGAATACACACATAGACACAATCATGGCAGCAAATGGCAGCAAATGACAGCAAATGAGAGATTGAGAGGTCTCCTGTTTACTGGAGAAATACTGACTTTGGCAGTGCTTAATCTTCATTATAAAGGAGTTTGCTGAAGCTGCCCTTGACTGAGAGTCTTGATGTCTTGCCAGTTGTGTTTACTCCCGAGAGCGTGCAGAGTCGGTGCCTGAGCCTGATCCCGAATTCCTGTCCACAGTGAAAGTGGATAATGGGATTAGGAGCTTGTAGGGCGAGAACTGGGCTCGCCTGGTTTAGTCTCTCATGCCACAGATCAGCAAACAATGACTTCAGATAAGAATAAGAAAGACATAGAGAACTTAAAAGTAGCTGCCGTAGGTGGAATAGAGTGATTTACTTCAAAGCAGGAGAGAGTTAGACGCTAGAAGTCTCAAGTCCTCCTCCAAAGGGACATGAGGACAAGGATTCACTTCACAGGGACCACATACCAAGCATATTCCTCTGCTATATTTCTGAATGCAAAATGAATGCAGAGGCACGGATGGAAACAATTCTTAACTTCCAGCTTGAATATTTTCACTCTTATGATTGATTATTTATATTGATAGAATATAGATACATCCCGTGAATAGGATCTCACAGGGTTTATGGTCTTAAGAACTGGAAAAGCAAGTATTCAGACCCAGCTCAAATCATTAAACTTAATCCTAAAACATTTTATTTGATTATTTCTTCAATAATTTTATGTTTAGAAAATATTTTATGCAAGTATGGTCTTTGAAAAGCATTGCTTTGTGATTCTGAAGTGACTTCCCTGTTTGCCCATAAAGACTTATTCCAATTAAAAAGTGCAATCAATTACAGATTTTTCAAAATAAACTTCGAAGGGTAATTTAAAAAATTGAAAATTACCCATAAAATCAAAGTCAAAATATCTGATCTGCGGTCTTTGACTGATGTTTCGAATCTGTTCCAAAACCCAATCTCACTAAATTAATTAAAATGTGCTTGAATTCATTACTGCTGCTTCAACATGATCATTACCGCTGATAATGTCCGCTGCCGTCATGGCCAAAAAGCATGTGTGAAATAGAATTAATCGCAGAAATCATGTTTACACACACACATGTGCATAAAAAAACAATTTGGAATATTTGGATACTTTTTGGGGTATTTTTCAGATGTTCACCAGACCTGCTGTCTGGTGGAGCAGCTCATGGGTTTATTTCTTATCCAGAAAAACATCAGAGAGGAGAATAGATTACACAAACATATTAGCATTGTGAATTAATTGTTGACTTAATTTTTTCCAACTGGCAACTGATAGAAATGATAAAACAGATAGAAAGTGCTGACTGCTTATGGTAGACTGCCGTGTGTCCACATTTCCACACAAAAAGAAGACACAGCTCCATTTCACTCTTTCTCACACTCCACGGCGTCCCCCTGAGGTTTTAATGGAGCCAGCTGGCTGTTTGTTGACCTCCTCCCACATGGGACTCATTGAGGAGTAATAGGTCAAAACACAGATGAAGTGCAATCACAGCCTGTGATAATGGGAGATGTGTCCCCTGGGACAGCTTTAAAAGGCTTCACTCAAGCCCCGGAAGTGGCCGGGCCAGGCTTTCAGCCTTCAAACTACTGTTTGATTTGGTGTCACGTTACAGCCCTCTGAGGCACTGTCATGTCCTTTACTTCATACAGGCATGAGAGGATCAATACCCGTAAAACCCTCATAATACAAAGCAGCCCCGACGATGATCTAGTAAACCTGGAGTTTCTCGATGAGGTAAGACTTTATGTGCTTTTTGTGATCGTCCGCAGCGTAAGGGGCCTGCTCCTGATTCCGGTGGTTCTGTTTGTATGCTATTCTTTTTACAGGAGACCATTATTAGCCACCTGCACAGGAGGTATGATGAGCTGCAGGTTTACACGTATGTAGGTGACATCCTCATCGCCCTCAATCCGTTCCAGAATCTCAGCATCTACTCGCCGCAGGTTACTAACAAACTATTCGCTGTTAAACTTCACTGCTAAACCCCTGTGGAACCTCAGTCCATCAGCTGTCACATCACAGCCGTGTCAAATGCAGGCTTTTGTCTCCTTTTAGTTCTCTAAGCTCTACCACGGTGTAAAGAGAGCCGACAACCCCCCGCACATCTTTGCTACTGCAGACGCAGCCTACCAGGGAATGGTGACGTTCTCCAAAGACCAGGTAAAGAAGCATTAGGCCGGATCTCCTGCAGGTTTCTGGGAAAGAAAGATATCTACGTTTAAGCTTTAGAAATCACCAGAAAACGTGTATATATTTTCATTTCTTGCTCAGTGTTCTGTGTGTCTTGTTTTAGTGCATCATCATAAGTGGGGAGAGCGGAGCAGGAAAAACCGAAAGCGCACATCTGATTGTTCAACACCTCACCTTCTTGGGAAAAGTATGCTCCCATTATAGTCGGGTTCTGAATTTAATCAATCTGGATCTGACAAAAAAACTCCATCCACTCAGCTTATCAAACAGACATGTTCTTGCTCTCAGGCCAACAACCGGACTCTCCGGGAGAAGATCTTGCAGGTCAACCCTCTTGTAGAAGCTTTTGGAAACGCTTGCACAGCTATTAATGACAATTCCAGCCGCTTCGGCAAATACCTGGAGATGAAGTTCACTCCGACTGGAGTGGTCGTTGGGGCCAAGATATCAGAGTACCTGCTAGAGAAATCAAGGGTTATCAAACAGGCAATGTGAGTGACTCCTTTTTTAAAACATTTTCATAGAAGTTGACGTGTATGAAATTAAAACAAATTATATATTTATTTTTTTTAGGGGAGAGAAAAATTTCCATATTTTTTATTACATGTACGCTGGACTTTACCACCAAGACAAGCTTAAGACCTACAAGTTGCCCAACAAGACGCCCCCCAGGTTGGTCCTGCGTTTGACTTCACTCTGGTCCCCTTAATATCTTTAAAACATTAACGCTCAGAAAGTGCATCTGCAGGTACATCGACAGTCAACAGTGCAAAGTGATGCAGGACATCGTGTCGAGGAAACTCTACAAGGAGCAGTTTGACGGGATTCAGGAGTGCTTCCGAAATATTGGCTTCACAGAAGAGGTCCCAAACACCGATGAAACTTTCAGCCCTTTAGATCGTAGAACGAATGTTGACTTGTCATTTCTGTGTAGGAGGTCAACTCTGTGTACAGAATTCTCTCAGCCATACTGAACACGGGCAATATCGAGTTTACGGCCATCACATCCCAACATCAGACTGATAAAAGTGAAGTGCCCAACTCAGAGGCCTTAGAGGACGGTGAGATGCAGTAGATTGTCATTTGCATGTATATTTTGTATATTAATCTGTTAAATACACTCAAATATGGAAAGCTTAAGTAAGAGAAGAAACGTTTTTTAGTGGTCCTTCTTTAGGTTGTGTGTTTGTTTTTTTTGTGTTGTTTTTTTCTGCTGATGTTGTGTTGCATCATGTTTTACATTTAGCTCCGGGGGGGTACAGTTCCATAATTTAAATCAGCAGTAAAGGATGCTCACAAGTGTGTTTAGTCTTGTGTTGGTGTTGTTGTAGTTATTTACCACCTCTTTTGACAAAACTGTCCTCTGCATGTGGAAGTGACGTCAGTATGTGCTTAAAGCCGACCACAAGAGACCATCCGTGATCAGGCATTTGCTTTTATTTCAGCTGCTTCTCTCCTCAGCATCGGCCCCGAGGAGCTCCAGGAAGCGCTGACCTCTCAGTGTGTGGTCACGAGGGGTGAGACCATCATCCGCACCAACACCGTGGACAAAGCAGCTGATGTCCGAGACGCCATGTCCAAGGCCTTGTACGGGCGGCTCTTCAGCTGGATCGTCAACCGCATCAACTCGCTGCTGCAGCCCGACATGAACATCTGGTCAGAGCAGGCCTTTCACGAGTATCAGTGTGGATATCTGCTGTCTCTCCCTTGATTTTCTTGGATGCTCTTTAAAGCTCAGGCGACCTCTGTGAAGGTCTGAAGAGGTAGAAGCAAACATACTGAGGAGAATATCAATGGGCAAGCACAAGACAAGCAAAAGGAGAGCGATAAAAAAAAAAAGTTTTAATAAATTTTTTATACCGAGTTGCGTGCAGAGAAAATAATGTTCAGATGATTAAAAAGACTTCAGAGAGACTGCAAAGAGGCTTTTCATTGATCCAAAAGAAATCCTTCATAAATATGAGCGTTGACTGTCAAAGAGTCGTCTTGCAGAAATTAACAGAAGCTGGAGTTCCTGTCTGAATTCCAGTCATCTGTGCTGATTTTTTTTATTGCCATTAATAACCGGGTAGAACAGGCTTAAGGTGACCTCTACATTCAGAGGGTAATGACTGATCGTGACAGCAGGAGCTCCAAGAACAGAATACAAAATGCGGGCTGTTGAGTCCTTGCAGGATTTTAAGTCTGTACATTGTTTGTGAAGATATTGAAAATATCTTGAGGTCAAATCAATACAGACTGAAATAAAAAACCATTTATGAAGCACTGACTTTTTAAAGCAGATGTTTATGATTTCTCATAAGACCAGGCCTTCCAGATTCCAGAATTTGTATTTGGGTTGAACTCGGATTTTCATTAAAGTTTTATCCGTTAATATTGCTGTTGGGGAATTTGCGAGCTCCGCTACATAGAAGAATAAGTTTGTTTGTCCCGCTTTTCTCCTTTGAAGTGCCGCTGAGAGCTGCATGAATGTGGGAATCCTGGACATCTTTGGATTTGAAAACTTCAAGAAGAACTCGTTTGAGCAACTCTGCATCAACATTGCAAATGAGCAGATCCAGTTTTACTTCAACCAGCACATCTTTGCCCTTGAACAGGTGAGTTTTTCCACACAGGAAGAAAACGTCAGATGTTCAGCCAAACACTCGCCACAGAAAAGATCGTAATAACAACCGAATAAGTCATATGAGCGATTAAAAACATATTTTTGAATTTGCTGATACATCAGGAGCGAGTAGCTCTCAACATCATTTTGCTCGGTGGTCTGTGAAGAGTAAAGAATGATTTTTTTCTGTTGTGCGGCACCAAACAATGGTCCTAATTGTCTTAATCAATCTGTTTATCCTGACTTTTTTCCCCAAGTCTTTATTTTTGCTTGATGGAAGTAAATTAATCAAGAAACATTTCCATAATGCTTTTTGTTAAGATGAATTAGAGGCAAAGGTTTGCCCATTTTATTTATGTAGCACTTTTAATGACAAGTAGCCTCAGTTTTCACTGTAAATTAGATTTCACATTAAATATCAGCTCTGATAAATAAATAAAAATATTGTGTCAACATTCCTCTCCAAAGTACTATTGATATCCTCTACTAAGTTTTTTTTCCCATTTACATGTTAAGCAGTCTGAAGAACCAGAGTTGTTATCAGAGGCTGCGTTTACCCCTTTCACGTTAATTGCAGCAGTGATTATTGAAAATTTGGCCCCAGCTTATGGAAGTTTCTCCCCTGATGTAGGCTGATGCTCAGCGGAGAGGCTTTTTATTTGGTGCGGATGTGTTCCGTGCTGCTGTGCACAGACACTGATTATTCTGAGTTGATGACTTAAACATGAGGATGGTTTAGATCCATTGGTTCCACTTTATTAGTAAAATATATATTTAAAGCAACTTTTTGATCTGGAATTTAATAGATGCAACGATACGATATGTGTGTGGGTTGTTTGCACATTCAAATAAATTATGAATAAGTAAGTGGCTCTATTTGTTGGATTTGGAGCTGTTCTGTTTTCATTCTTTTATGCTGTAAACTTCAGCCATAGACACACACACAGCCAGTCGCAGCTGTTTGGTCTTTGTTGATTAGGAGCTCTCGTTCCCTACACATGAACACGCAAATCATATTCAGCCCAGATTGTTTAATTGGGTCATTTAGAGAAACATTAACTGGTTTATTCGATGATCTCTGGTTCTAATTAGATGGAGTACCAGAGCGAGGGAGTGGATGCCAGCCTGGTGGAGTACGAGGACAACAGGCCCATCCTGGACATGTTCCTGCAGAAGCCCATGGGCCTGCTGTCCCTGCTGGACGAAGAGAGCCGATTCCCTCAGGCCACTGAGCAGACACTTGTGGGTAAGACGCCCACAAGCTGCATCGACATCACTTGATTTATACGAAAGACCAAAGATCAGTCTGTATCTTATAATATATATATATATATATATATATACAGTGTTGGGGAGTAACGGATTACATGTAACGACGTTACGTAATTTAATTACAAAAAAAGAGTAACTGTAATTCGTTACAGTTACAATGACAAAATATGTAATTGAGTTACAGTTACTTCCGAAAATATTAAGAATTACAAATTTTGTTACATTTTTTTTAAAATATAAAGAAAAACCTTTGCGAAATATGCAACTCACTGAGAGACGAAGCGTATTGATTTACTAATATTTGACTGTTTGGTGTTGATGCATGACAAACGTTTATCGATGTCTATGACCTAGCCTAGCCTAGCCTAGCCTACCTAGCCTACCCAACTGCTCTTTTTACCGGACATGTCCTACATTTCAGACTAGGGTTGTCAAAAGTATCGATACTTAAAAAAGTATAGATACTAAAATGTTGTATCCGGATACGACTGACCTGCCGTCGCTGCGCCCCTTTTCTCCGATTTATTTATTTATTTATTTACGTTGTTTATGATCATTAACAAGACGTTAGCCTTGAAGTGCTAGCTGCGGCCAATAGCTAATAATAAAACGCTAAAATGAATCATGGGTTAATACTCATTAAAACCTTAAAGTAATCAAAAAGTAATCAAAAGTAATTAGTTACATTACTTTTTAAAAGTAATCGAAAAAGTTACACTACAATTACATTTTAAACAAAGTAACTTGTAACTGTAACGGATTACATTTTTAAAGTAACTTACCCAACACTGTATATATATATATATATATATATATATATATATATATCAAATTTTGATCTGTGTTTTATTCCTTTTTCACATCAGACAAATTTGAAGACAACTTGCGTTGCAAATATTTTTCAACACCTAAGCGTGTGGAGCTTTGTTTTGGAATTCAACACTACGCCGGAAAGGTATCACAAAGCTCTTTGCATCCTGTTTTGTTTAGTTTTTTGTTTAGGTTTTTATCCCAAAATAGCAGAATTAACAGTCTGTCCACAGGGATGAAGTTACTGTTTTAATTAATATTTTACTAATAAAAATGAATTTTAGTAGAGATTTGTTTTAAAAGACAGTTAAAAAAAACTGAATTAGTTCACTGTTGTGCACCCAGAATTTTTCTAATGACACAATGATAATGGGCATCTCGGTCTGTGTCAGATTATGTTTTGAGAATGTGATGGGATCCACAACACAGTATCTGAAACTGAAGCAAACAGTAAAAAGGCCTAATGAAGTAAACTGAGTTTGTATTTTTTGGTGACTCGGATTTAATATAATCTTTGAATATATACTCTCTCAACACAAACAAATCACACAAAACAGATTTTTAGTTTTAAGCATGTCAGCTGGATCTTATTGGTAATAAAATCATCAGTCTGTTTGCGCCTTAAACAGGATTGGACTGTTTCTGTGTTTGTCCTGCTCGACAGGTAATGTACAGTGTGAGCGGGTTCCTGGAGAAGAACAGAGACACTCTTCCTGCAGACATCGTCGTGGTGTTGAGAACATCAGAGGACAAACTTCTGCAGCAGCTGTTTTCGAGCCCTTTAACCAAAACAGGTATGCTGGAATACAGGCCTCTGAATTTTTTTCTCTTTGTATTTGAAAGGAAAAAGGTTCTGCAGGTCTGCAGTGAGAATATAAACTTTCCTTTGATACAAACTATTGTTGGCTGAAATTGTGGGACTGCGTTAGTCAGTGAATAGTGCTGCTGTCTCCTGCTTCCATAAATGTTCAGGTAAGTGGGTTTCTTAAAGACGCGACTCTCAGGCATCTACTTGCCCCCCCCCCCCCCCCCCCTTCATTTCAAGCCTCTGTGTGCCGTGCTCATATAAATCTGCAGTCTCCATTATCTCTTGAGAGGCTCAGCTCTCTGCACGGCGCTCTGTTTTTATTTTCACTAAGCTGTCCCTCTTGGTTTCTCTTTGCTGAATGCTATCTACAGATTCTGGGTGCAGTGGGATATTTTTATGATAAGGTTTCTAAATACCCGGGGGCTGAAGAAACTGTATTTAGAGAACACAAAAGCAAGTCGTCCCACCTCTTTTCTGTTGGTTAAATGAAGGCAGGGTAATGTGCTTGTCATTAGCTGAGGCTGAGGCCTCCTGGTCACTTGACTTAGCTGAAATGTTAATAGATGTCTTAAATTATTAGATTCCCACTTCCTTCTTTATTTCAGCTAAGCCACTTTATGTGATTCACTTCCTTTTTAGGGGCCTGTAAATGCTTGCTTTCACTCCCGGTGGCATTAAAGGGAGCTTTGATTCACAAAAGAGAGAAAACTGGGAGTCCTGTGGAAATCTGTGATGTGTCTTCAAACTTCAATTGCAGGTTGTGCATCAGTCGGCCGTCTGTCGCATCGTCCTGCAATTAACAGCTCCAGAGAAGCAGGCTCTATAAAAACAAATTCATGGAGCACTTCTTTTCAGCACACATGAGCGGCACAGCGAGGCTAGGAAGCGCTGTAATGTTTACTGTTGCTGACATAGTGTCAGTTAGGTCTAAAAGCTTCTACTTTCCCTTTTTGTTCATTGCTCTTTTGTGTGGGGAACCTTTCAGTCGGGTGAATTAAGTTAATGGGATAATTTATCAATGAAATAAACTTGGCATTTTGAACCTTTTCCTCTTAAAAGGCCTTTGATAAAACTCAGGATGAATGCAGAGATTCTTTAACATGCTCATCTACAGGCTGAGTGCTTTAACATGAACACATTCAGTTGAGATGGAGGTCCACTTTTCTTATTGTAGTTTGTGAGGCCACAGATCATCTCTTTAGATAAAAGCTATCAAACACTGCTGTGCCTTATCACTCTGGAAAAGATGGAGCGCTGTTTAAAGTGAGACACAGTATAGCATAGGAAAATTAGAAATCTATTCTTCAGGGTAAAATTTTCGTGGGGATTTAATTTGCATTTCCCCTTCACATTATACATTCACTGTTATCTGTGAAATTACCTCTATCTGGAGGGATCTGATGGAAATCTCATACAGCAGGGTGGCTCCAAACTCCGCTCCCTCCTCCAGCCTCACCACTAGGGGACACTGTCGGTGACCTGCAGCTTGTAACGGTTCTGGAGGTGAAGTCACAGATCTGTGTTGTCAAACTGCATGCACACACACGCTTGTGCATTGTATTTAAATGTTTCTGCCGGTCTACAGACCAAAGTGCTGCGACACGCGTGATTCCTTTGAATATTCTTTAGCCCTAATTTTTGTCAGGAGTAAAACAAACACATTTATTTGATATTCCCTCTTCTGTCGGCCCCACTCTGAGATTCTACCAGTTTGGGTATCAATGCAGCTCCTGTTTGGACAACAGCAGGGAAGTAGGAAGGCCCTGGAAAGTAAAAAGCTCCCAGGCGGTGAATAGCAAGGCCACTTGAGCCTTGCAGAATGCGGATCATTGTGGCTCGGACATGTGGTGGTGTTTTGTCAAAGGAAATGGGCTGTATTTGCATGGACAAATTCCTCGGAGCCAGGGCCTTCCCCAGATCAGGGGGGATCACACTGTTTAAATTGGCTGGGCTCAGAAGGGCCTAGTGCGGCCCGGGCAGCCTGCAGCCACGGCTCAGCTCTGTGTGTTTGTGGAAGTGTAGCCTCAGGGCCGCCTGGCCTTCCTGATTGTAGCTCCGCACATCTGCACACACACACTGCATCTACACCGCCAGGTTTTTGTCACAGCACATATGGAATATAGTTTAAATGGATAAAAATAGCTGGTTTGACCAGAACCGACACTGTTCTGAAGGATTATTGAGAAATCCATCTCAGTCTTGCAATTAAACAGCCTGTGAATTTGTATATTTAAAGGCCGATTTTCCTATGTGTGTCTGTGGAGAGAATCTTTTTTACATCTTATTTCCGGGAAAAATATCAGCTCAGTGGTTCTCCTTGAAATGTAGGTATTTATGAATGTTTTACTCTTGTGACTGTGTTTTAGAAAATTTTCTTAGAGACTTAAAAATGTGGCTTTAATGTCAGTTTGTCAGTATATGAATTTTAAGTAGTAGCCCAGCTATTTGTGCTTTACTTAAATATTCCCATTTCCCTGATGAACACCATCTTTTTCTCTTCTATGTGACTTTATCAGTGTTATCAGCAGATGAAGACTTACAACGTTTAGATTTCCAGGAGTGATTTGCGCATTTAACTGCGCCCTTGTTCTTTGTCTGCGAACAACTTCAGGGTTTTGTTAATACTTTCAAGGTCATGAGCTTAAAGCAATCGTCGGTGTCAAACAATTTACATACTGATTTGTTACATCTTCACACCGAGCCGTCCTCTGCTTCTCCCTCTGTCTCCCTTCATGTCAGGAGATCATCCTGACAGGCCTCTCCCAGCTATGTGACACATTTGGCTCTTTGTTCTCCCCCAGAAGAGGCCTTTTTCATCCCAGCCGGCAGATCTTCCTCCAGACTTTCACACAATCTCACTCCCAAAAGAAAGACACTCACGAAGTCAGACTTTTGTTGGGTTTCTCTCCAAATCATGATGTTTGAGAATGCTTTGAGTCAGCAGTGGGATTTAGGACGGCCCTGTGCATCTGTAGCAAGAAACCGGCTCAGCAAAGTCACATGGCACAACATCCTTTGATAAATGCAACACTGTGTTGTGTCACTAAAAGCCAATTACACCGTGCTTTTTATGATTGATCTGCTTTGACAGTGGTGGATGGCATTTAAATCAACAGCCCCCAGAGCCGTCTCCAGGCATAAACGGTGGTGGTTACAGAGGGTGGGGAGGGCTCCAGAGGGTTATGGGTGCTTTAATCTAATTTGCCTGGTTGCTGAGTTGAGTTTCTAGATCACATGTTTTCAAAAAGAGAGCTGGAGAGCAGCAAAGATATCCAGCAAGCCTCTGCGCACTCAGCTCGGGAAGGCTGCTCTCTCTTACAACTTTGATTGTCCCCTGTGTCGACAGCTCGATCCACAGCTTCTGAAGTACAAGGCGCACACTGGCACTCATAAAAGCGTGTAGGGAGGTGTCATATTGAACGCGGGATTGCTTTTTAATCCCAGGCACATTGACTATTCTTGTCAATAGAGCCCCAATACAACTGCCAGCTTGAGCTTTTTTTTTTTTCTTACAGGATTCTTGCTGGGCTTAATTTTCAAAGTGAACGCACAGATGCCAGGGAAGGCTTTTTTGCCCTCCCTTTCTTCTCCCCTCCCCATACACTGCTCTGCCACTCTGTGGGTTTGTCCTGAAAGTCCATGCCAAGAGCAACATGCGTGAAGCAGAAACAAACAGTGGGACACTCGTCCACCTGTTTCTCGAGATTGAATGACCTGATGGGAAATGTTCCCCCCACCATCGCTCTTCTTTAGTTTTATCCTCTATTATTAAAACTTGTTGTGTTTTCATTCTAACCACTTTAAAGCTTTGAAACCATCACTCGGAGTACCAGAAACATATTCAGGATTAATATTTGACAGATCATCTTCCTTTCTCTCTTCTGCTCCATCTCTCTGTTTGAATAATTATGACTCACATCATTAGACAAAATCCTGCACTGGATCTAAATGATGACTTCTTCTTTCAGGCCGGACATCACAGGTGTTTTCTTTGGTTTCGTGTCTTTGGGGGGAAGAAATCTTTGAGGATACTGACTATCAACCCCTAGCTCTAATCATGTAGTCGAACATGTAAATGAAACCCGGCAGAAAAATGAATTAATACAACCCGCCAAGGAATATATGAAGAAAGCAGCGAGTGTCCATTTGCGAGGCTTAGGTACAACTGTCATAGTTTCTCTCATCGTGGCGCAGCCCCTTCATCTCCTCTTGATGGTGTCATGGAAGTGAGAGGCGTGAAAGCACAGTGACACTCCACGAGCCCGTTCCACTCGCAGCCGCTAATTCATCATGACAAATGTGCTCAGATGATCTGGCCCAGCAGCGCTAATGGGGAGAGGAGAGAGCGCACTTCATTTGCACAAGACCCACTCCAATTAATCCATCCAGCTTTACTCTGGGCTAATTGGAGCAGGGCCCTCCCTGCCTGTGTGCCTGTAATGTACCCGACACAGTTTAACAGCCCCTGTTCTCAAAGATCCTGATTTTGTCTGCGCGCACATGTGTGTGTGTGTGTGTGTGGGTGTGTGTGTGTGTGTGTGTGTGTGTGTGTATGTAGATTGTGCCAAAGGGCCATTTGAGGTTGTAAAATCTGCTCCCTGTATCCTTATACACAAGACCCTCTCACAAACATGTGTTCAAAATTAGCAATTAACTGTTTATATTTCCATCCCATCATATTTCACACTTTCCTTTCTCCTATTTTTAAGGTTCTCATTCTGAACCTGAAGTTACTTTTCCAACCATATTTTCAACCAATATTAAAGAGCATATTTTAACATGACAGAATGTGCCACATGAAAAAAAAAATAGAAGCAGAATAACTGAGCAGATAAATAAATAGAAATTAGCCGATATCTGTCAAACTCTTAAAAGAGCATCACTCTTGAGCTTAAAAGACTCTTTTGAAGTGCTCTCACATACTATGTTTTGGGTTGTTTTGACTCGAGCAGCATGTTTGAGCACATATGTGTGGGAATTTTTATCCCACAAGAGACCACAAATCTCAGGCTGGCTGAGCAACCTTTAGCCCCATCAGGACATCCTCCGTCTAAAATTAGAGGAGGTCCACCGATTAATGATTGCGTCATTGGTAGAATTTTTTTCCCTCCCTTAGTATGTGAATTTTGAAAGCAGGCACTTATCCAGTGTTCAGGTTTTTGGCCCCCTGTCAAACGACTTCCTCAAAAACTGATGTGAGCTCTGAAATCATAACTCAGGAGCTGGCGGCACATTTGCATTTTAGAAGTTGGTCTGTGTGTGGTAGAAAATCTTGAACAATTGTTGGCCTGTCACTTCGGCTTTATCTTAAAAAACTTACAAAGGTTTTCCTCCTTGCCATACACGACTGCCTGGGTAATGCTGCCTCCTGTGTCTGCAGACGTATTTTTTTCTAAAGGTGTGTGTGGCACATCTGTGCAGCTATTGTTTATTCATGGAGTAAACCCTTTGAAATGTGTTAAGATACTTCCCACTCATTATAAAAATCCTGCCACCCATGGATTAGGACTTTGATGTCACCAATCCTGCTTCAAAGGCTTCTTTCACTGCTATTAATCACAGTTTAGCCTCTGAAGATATAGCCAGAGAAAACATTTGGACATCTTGAGCAGAAACTTTGAAATGCTCAGACTGTCTTGCATATGCTACGCTCATATCCTTTCCGCTGTGTGTGGGGCTGTTGAACTGCTGTGCATGCAGCTGCACTCCTGAGTCCATGGGATTCAACTCAGATTTAGGCTCCTTCCTAACTGTCTTTAATGCTGTTGCCACCCTATGAATGCTAACTTGAGGCAGCACTGCTACAGCAGTTGAAAAATAGCATTGTACCCAAAGTGTTTACAAGAAAATATCATTTGAGATGACTCTATAATAATTTCCGCTGTTGATCCAATGCACTCCAGCTCAAACTTTATGGGAGCTTTGAAAGAGCGTGACGGTTTGGTGTTCAACAGGAAATCTGGCGACGTCCAGGGCTCGGGTCACTGCTGCCTCCAGATCTCTGCCGCCACAGCTGGGCGCAGGACGCTCCAAGGTGAGGCTCCTGTAGCACACAAATCATCACACGTGAGGCCGTAATGCTTTTTATTTGTTGCTCACAGGCATCACACCATAAGAGACTCAGTAAAAAGCTGTGCTGTGAAGCAGAGCCATATTAATTGACTACCCCGTTATGTTTGCTGTCTTGCTTATAATAAAGCTGCATGGCCATCTGGCGTTTAGTGTCAACGGCAGTTTCCCAGATTTACTCTTATTAACAGACAATGAGGGATTCTTTGAGTGGTGATATGGATGTTAGCAGTATTGCAACTCTTAAAGGAAAGGACATTTTTATTTTATCAATAAATATTCTGATAGAATTGTCCTTAATTCTCTAATTGCAGTGAAATATATTTTTTGTCCCATGCACAACTACTGTGCCAGTTTCTAAAAGTCTTCCGCTGAGACAATGAATCTCGAGTTTCTTCCCTCTGGACATTTCAATAGTCTAGTTTCTAATACACTTTGTTCAACTGTCTTCTCATGGTGAAATAATGATGTCTACAATCTCATTTCTTTTGGAACTGTGAAACAATCTTCCAATCTTACATGGAGTTTGTGTGTGTGTGTGTGTGTGTGATGTGTGTGTAGGAAGTATGAAATTTCATCATGATTTATTATGGAAACCCCCCCCCTGAAGGTGAATTTTTGCTTCTTCACCTCTTGTCTGTCCACTTCTTTTCCTTTTATTTCCATGTTTTTGGCCGACATGTGCTGTACTCAAAGTCTCCCAAATACCTGTTGAAGGTAAGACCTCAGTTATGAAATAGTAACCCCTTCTCAATTAGCAGACAAAATAGCCGCCCAAAATTAAATTGGTCATCTCCAGAAAACAGTTCACTGTCATCCAAAACTTTTCTTTCTCTAACTTTGAACAGCATGAAGCTCGCCAATAATCTCTCTGTTCCGCATTCTTGTTTTAAACAAATAGGAACTAATAATATCAATACTCAATATGGGGCCTATACACACACCAGCAGTAGTGGAAAACCAACTTTTCATAATTTAGAGCACTCATTTATTCTTGAGTGAGAAAAGGCCTGTTAATAAGAACTCAGAGTGACTGATGTAAAATCTATGCTGCCATGTCCTCAGTCAAAGAAAAGTTGACAGAAACTAACAGTAATAGAAAGTTTCCCGATTAAAGAAGTGGGATGCTTGTTAGAATAGCAAAAGTGGGTCCCAGATAACAGTTTGTACTTGTGTATGATCTCCTATCAGAATAGCAAAGTGTCGTGTACCTTCCTCCCTCTGTGCAAGGATCAAATGAAGTCTTAAGATATGCACTTTGCTGCATCGACTTACCATAAAATATCTATTGCATCATTAATTTTGATGAAGCCATGAACAGCAAAGGCCATTATGAAGCTTATATTGTGTCCCCATTAATCCGTCGTCATCAAGAAGACTGTCTGCTCAATGACGGCTGGTCTCATCACTCAGGAGTGCTGTGCAATTTTCCCATGCCCCACAGCAGTGCTGAATTATTCCCTAGATTGTTAGCTTTAAGTGTTTATGAGGCTACGTTGTATTGACAGCTCTGTTAGTACAGCTGTGTGTTCCCAATTGGCCCATTAAGCAGAGGACACCTGCTATAATAATAACTTTATCTCAGCAGAGCTCACTGAGAGCACCATGTTGCAGAAAAAAACTGCATCTCATTTGAATCTCCTGGCCCAAATGTGGCTTATTTCATCCACGCAGTGTGCTTACTGTGAACGTCTGTGTTCAGGTGGACACCATGGAAATGATGCGTCACCCCGGTGAAACCACCAGCATGAGGAGACAGACTGTGGCCTCCTATTTCCGTGTAGGTGTTTTCATTTCATGCTAAAATCTTGTGCTTTAACCCACGCATCCCAGCTTCTGTCTTTCTGCCAAGTATTCAAACTTCTGAAATGGATTGTTCAGAATATATTGCAAAACACTTAGTCAAAGGAACGGTATCTTGTGACGGCTTATTTTGATTTGCCACAACAATTATTTTGTGAAACGATTTATACAGCCTGCAATCTTTCTTATTTATTTCATACACAGTTAATCAGCCTTATCTGTATTACAGTCCCCGATAACAAGTTCAAAGCAGGACCTGGGGCAGTTTGAGAGCCTCTGATATCCACAGAGGCTCTCAACCAATAAGTCATTAGAATTCATAGTTATCATGGAAATAATTCCTTCTAGAAATTTGGCAAGTTTTTATTTTAAGTTTGTAATATGATATCATGGAAGATACATAATCTTAACAATAATCTAGATTTGAAATCAGTCTGGATTAATACTCCAGGAGTTAGTGGTTGTGATTGAGTCAGGAGGAAAAGGACCCAAATGCAAAATTTACAGGAGGTATGAGGAAAGGCCAAAATGTATATTTAAAACAATAGATACATTTGAATGTCTGATCTTCTCAGATCTCAGAACTCATACATATACATACATCTGAAGTCAGATTTTTCATCATTAACTAGACAGATGTGATGATCTGCTTTGTCACACAAGTGGACGACATGACTTCTGACAGGGTTTGTTGCCACAGGAAAGTCGTTCAATAAACTTGTAATTACCAATATCTTATATTTTGAACAATAAAAATATTGTGATTTTTAGCTTGGAATTCCCACTTTGGGTGATCATTGAACACAACGTTAGAACTCATCACTAAAACAAGGGCAGGTTTCAACAGGGCCCAACTAACTGCCTCCTCTTAGTAAGTTTACTGAACAAAATTTCCACATGTTCTCCATGTTCTCAAATGGTTGTTTTTGGAGAGTGACTATTGTGAAGCATTTAATCACTAACTATCAGGTTTTCTCAAGTGTTGACAGAAATGGAACAAAAGGGCAAAACATCAGTTGAAAGCCAGCTATTGTTTTGTGGACAGTTATTATAAAGTTTGCCATTTGGGTACTTTGGGAGACAGAAGCAGTCATGTTTGGATAAGAATAAAGCACATTATAACATCAGTTCATAAAGATCAGTTGTAATTGAACTACATATGTCTGTCATATGAAAATGAAAAACTCTTTAATACTTTTGAATACTATTGATGTTGGTTGCTGTTGGATTTGGTTGCCTCATTGTGTCTGCGTAGTACTCCCTGATGGACTTGCTTTCAAAGATGGTGGTGGGCCAGCCTCACTTTGTACGCTGCATCAAACCCAACGATGACAGGCAGGCGCTGTGCTTCTGCAAGGAGAGAGTGATGGTGCAGCTGCGTTACACGGGGATCCTGGAGACTGTGAACATCCGCCGACAAGGCTACTCCCACCGCATCCTGTTTGAGGAGTTTGTCAACAGGTAGTGCTGCTGGTGCACCTCTACTGTGAACACACACCACGTGCGACATGCTGATTTAACCCCAGAGGTCTTAACACTACAAGTGAGCCAAGCAGAAACACGGGTTCTTTAATTAGATAGAAGTTCAAGTTGAGCTGAGCAAGAGGCTGACTAATTGGCAGTCATTAGTGATAGAGCAAGGCTTAATCCTACAGCTCTTTTAACTGGGTGGATACTCTAGTCTGGAAAATATGGATAAAAATTCAAACAGGGAGGAACTGTGATTATAAGGGGAGATGCATTTTAATAGGTTTCCCTTTGCTATTCATAAAGAGTTTGTTCTTGCACTCAGTGACCTGAAAAAGCTCAAATGTAGCTTCCTTGTCCCATTGGTATTACGTTAGAACACAATTAAAAACAAGCTTCATCATTAGAGGGGCTTTACGTAAGGATGGTGTTTTTTTTAATAATCAGGATCTGATACCTCATACTTAGCAGTATCAACTTTTTATAAGGTATTCAGCTGCAACATTTTGAAACATGTTGATAATCATCGTGTGTCATTTTAAGGAGGGAAAGGAATTAGAAAACTTCTGTTTAATTTGTGCTACTTTGAAAAATATTCAGCCACCTCTAATGTTGAGACTGAAAGATGATGTAGAATTTAATTAACTCTGACTTTGTGCCTTTAGGAAACAACTTTCAAATGGCTAGTTTTTCCTCACATCCTGTGGGAAGCTTTGAAATTGTGCCCTTAATTTTGCTGAACTAAAACTCTAAAAGGCCACAACACTTTCTTACATGTCAGTCTTTTGCTTCCAGTGTTAAAGAGTGATAACTAAAGTATTCCAAATGACCATGGCTACTGTTGTGCATGATGCTGCGCGGCTGTGTGAACAGCAGTCTTTTGCTTCATCTTTGACCTTGTTTTTGAATCCTTATCATCCTACCTGAGCCTGGCAGAAGTCGTGCAGACAGACCCGAATGGCTAAACTGCACCTTTAGTGAAAACTGATTTAAATTTGTGCTTTCATATCAAAGGCTCGTCTGATGTTGCAGTGCTTTGTATTTACCATCAAAGAAATAACAGGTATCAACAGGAATTAGTATGAAAGGCTTTCGACTGAAGCGGAGAGCGGAGTTCAAAGAAGTTTTTCTTCTTGTTGTTGTTCTTCTTTTTGGCCAACGCCAGAAAACGAGAGATGAACCAGTAGTTCTGGAGCCTTGAAGTCCCTGAGCAAACACGTAGAGCCACCTTGTCCTGTGCTGGTATTTTGTAAACTCTAACAAGAGAATCAGTAGATGTGTCCAGACAATGTGAGCATTAAACAATAGTGAAGTTGATGTTCAGCTAGAGGCCAGATGGGCTGAGACCGGTGAAATAAGAGACTGTGATTCACTGAGGAGGGATGCAACAATGGGCTTCTGTTGAGCACTAAAGTCCAGCTCACTTTTCTCAGCATCTGATTGTGATGCTTCTAGTTGTGTTATAACGTACATTTTTCTTGTCTATGTTATTGGTCAGTTACTGACAGAATCTGAATGCATCCCTAATACAGAATGCATAATACTAATAATAATACTTTTTTTCTTGTATTGTTACGCACCTTTAATTTGTGTCACACTAAATGTCTTTTTTTATTATTTTTTTATCTTTCTATAGAAAATCTTGTTCGCACATTATCAAGTCCCATTGCGTGATGAAATATCTTCTCTTGCAGATATTACTACCTTGCATTTCGGGCTCACCAGATGCCGGAGACAAACAGAGAAAATGCTGCCACCATTCTGGAGCGAGCCAAACTAAAGGACTGGGTGTTGGGGAAGACAAAAGTAGGGGGACTTTTTAATTTATTTCTGTGAAATCATGAGATAATATTATTTGTAATAGAGCTGAAGATGTTAATTGTTGTGAGGCTTTATTAAACAGAAAGAGAGCATTCGTAAACTTAAGCAGGAGAGTGATATGAGGTGCATTAACGCCAAACCATGACTGAATGTCCCGTCAGGTTTTTCTGAAGTACTACCACATTGAGCAGCTCAACCTGCTGCTGCGGGAAGTGATAGCTCGAGTGGTGGTGATACAAGCTTACACCAAGGGCTGGCTGGGGGCCCGACGTTACCGTAAAGAGAAGCAGAAGAGAAACCGTGGGGCCGTCATCATTCAGTCAGGTACAGTTTTTTTTTTTTATAAATAATTCAAGCATAAGTCTAAATATGCAAAATAGAAAATAGTCCTGATGTGTTTTATCAGGCAGTGATGAAACAGTTGCAGTTTTGGTGTGAATCTGATTGCTGGGTTATTAGTGACTTGCATTAAGTTTTTGTTTTGTGTGTGTGTATGAGTCTCCATGAAAGAGGTAGTTTGATAACCACAGCTTGACCCATGAGGGTTAAGAGCAATGCTTCAGAGAAAACAATAAGACTTCTGAGAGTTCAAAGAGATCCATCCCTCTGCCACCTGGTTTAGCCATGTTTTGAAGTGGGATTTTGTATAGTTTGTGCAGTCTATTTTGTTTAACAGAGGTAGGTCAGCTGTGTGTTGCGCGCACACACACACACACACACACACACACACACACACACACACACACACTCTCTTTCTCTCTTCCTAGCCTGGAGGGGCTATGTTGCAAGGCAGAATCTAAAGCAAATCAAAAAGGAGCGGGAAGAGGCCGCAATCCGCATACAGTCAGGTAAGGAAATGCAAGTATATTCCTTCAGTGTTGATCGTATAGTCAAGTGAAGACATCTGGATTGTCTCATGTGGCCCCATGTCCGGTGTAAATTAGCACCCTCTTTTTTGTACGGTCTGAAAAGGACCAGGCATAAAGGCCTGAAAACCCTCTATCTTTGTGAAACACCTTTTTGATCTCCACGAGTGGCCTAAGAAATAGTAATAATTAATTAATAATGCATACAGAAAAGCTTTTGAAAGTTTGGGCAGCATTTGGTCCCCATGTTTCTGAAGAACAGTGCATACTGAGATCCTTTTTCCCTTTCATCTCTTTCCCAGTAAAGGCAAGAGAGGGGCTTATCCCTTCTGTTTCCTCACCACTTCCTCTCTCAAATTCCTGGCCTATTACACAGCTCTCACATACCAGAAACAAGATGCCTTTTTATACTGTCAACCTTTTCATCTGAAATGTAAATTAATTCTTACTCAGTGTGCCTTGACGAAGATCAAAGTGGGCACATTAACCTTCCCAGCCTTCCACCCCCCCTCAATCCTTGGAGCCTCTCACTGGAGGACAAGAGATGGTGCCAAAAGGGGCAGGAGAGAGGAGGGCTGGGGGAGGAGATTTGGCATTGTTTCCCCTGGCTCTCTTAAGGGCTGCCCTCATCTGGCACATGGAGCATCCCAGTCGCCTGCACACCTTGTGCAAATGTGCTCCATTAAACCCTTGTAAATAAAGCTGCCGAATGGGTAAACATAGTTTTGGTGTGAAGAAAGCCTCTCTGTCGCCGTTGTCTTTCTTTTTAAAGAAGCCTGTTTGTGTGTGGCCGCCGGGGTTCACGGGGGGAGAACCTGAACCTGACATAAGCGGGGCCTCAGCCCCCCGGCGGAGCACTCCAGCACATTCACATTGTGTGTTCTCTGCAGCTTATAGCCTTTGAGGTGGGCTGCATTTGCATTTTGAAAATAAACAGATGCCTTTCAAATGTATGAGCCTGGTGGCTTCTCAGATCTCAGCAGGGCCTGCGGGACATGCTCACCATCGATCAGATTAGACCATGCAAAATAGAACCATTGCTCAACAATCTACTTGAGCTTTCTTTTCCTGCGCATATAATTTTGACCAGAAAGACACAAAGCGGCTTGACAAGTAACTCAGCAGGCTCTGTTTACCATGCATTTTAGCCCTGTATGTCTCAATAATCACACACAGTGTTTTCCCTACTGCTCCTCGACAGTCCTTGAATGCATTTAATACATACGCTTTGTGCGTTAGGTAAATTGTGTTAGGTGCCTTTTATCAAAACCACTTACATAAAGTACAATTTAGGGGAACGACATGGCAGGTGGAAAATGGTTTTCTGAAAAAGTGAGGGCATGTGAGACGCTCAGATTTTGCTCAGCTTACAGAGGCCATCGGGTGCGTCAGGAGCAGGCACCGCGGCGACACAGATGTCACCCTGAGGCTGGAGGACAGACCACCAAAGAGCAACACGCGGGGTAAGCTACGGTACACTCTCCCCCTCAGGGCTGCTGTTGCAGTCTTTTTGTCAATTTTGTGCTCTCCATAAGAAAGACAAAGTCATAAATCGGCTGGGAAAGATCCTATTTTTCACATTACTTAAATCTCACATAATGTACCTGGTGTTCATCTTTTGGGCTTTATGATGGGCCGCCTTAACCCTATAATGTTCTGTTGTTTCACCCCAGGAGAAAAGCCCCTCCCTGTGCACCGCCTCTTTCAGTTTTATAAATGTAATAAATAACTTTCCACCAAGATAGCACACTTGTCTGACCACAAATGGGGCTGGGCGCTGTACTGGTCTCCAGATGTACGAGCTGAAGACTTTGTGTTTATTCAGCATATGGGCAGGCCGGTCATTAAGAAAGTATGTGCAAGGCAGGAGAGCAGCCACTGACTGAGCAGCAGAACATGAGTAATTTGCAACCCCCTTAATATTGTTGGGGAATATTTTTGGATAAAAAGGTTCTCCTGCTCACTCCGAGATACCAGAAAAAGTGAGCAGCAAAGGGACTCTTTGCCCCTTGAAACTTCACCCAAACAAGAAGTTTCATTGAAATATTTGGCGATTTTTATTTTCCTTTTTTTTGGTCAGTATTCCTCCCCAGACTTTGTCTACAAAATACTGGATTTACACATCTGAAAATATCAGGCTTGTTGTATACTCCATCTGAGCCGAGCCTCATTGGGGATTTTTCTCTCCATGTTTACAATCGTATTCCTCGGTGAGAGAAACTTCAAACCTCCATTTAACAATTCTGTTTAATCAGTGTTGGAATATCTCCACATATATTTATTTTGACATGATCTGGCCCATTTTCCTCCTGTAAGATCTATATTCTCACCTACATGCTGTTCTTTTCCCTTTTGATACTCCTCCTCTGCCACGCATGAATTCTATGTTTGCGTCCAAACAGCACAGCCTCCAGTTGCATCACCAGTTCCAAACGGGATAAGGGTTTATTTCTCTCGACTCTGAGCATGACTGCAACTGGCGTGCAGCATTGTGTGTACAGATGTTTTCTACTTGGTGTTTGTTTTTCTAAATAATGCAGCCCCAGAGATCACGCACGGAGACATCATTATCCCGCGTTCTGCAAATTGCATAATCATGAAAATGAAGCAGATTATCCTATGTGTAGTTTTATTGTGATCGTGTTCATGTTGGTCAAATATGCCTCTCACTTTCACAGGTCCAGCTCGGGGAGCAAAGAGGCGCATACAGATGATATACTGGAAGGAAGAGTAAGTCTCAGAATATCAGCCAGCGTTTCCTCACGCCTTACTTTAGCTCTGAAAGTAAAATGCTGCTCATCTACAAAGCAGCCTTAGCCCAGATTATTCTTTGGGAATTTTTTTGAGTCCTTGAGACAAAAGATTTCTCTTGCTCCAACCTCCATCTCAGCGGAGGAGACAGGGTGGTACAGGAACGGGAGAATCAAAAGGCTGGAAATTCACGGCTGAGAATAAATGCTCGCTCTTCCCTGAGGTGATTTGTCTTTGCGCTCCTCTTTCTACAGATGTTAGACCCCTTTTTTAGTAAAGACCTGAGGTTCTTTGGTAGCACTTTGATATCCTGCTCGGATTCAATATGTGAAATAGAAGAGCCACTCCGTGACTTGGAGCACATCACAGTCTTTGAAGTCTGATCCAATTTTTGCTGCTCACCATTTGATGTTGAAAGGATGAAATGAGGAAAATGTACAGTTTTTGCCAGTAACTCTGCCGAGCATATGTAAGATTAAAAAAGCAAAATCCTTTGGAGGATGTACTTAGAAATGTTAAGCAGATTAATACTTTCCTATAGCTCTTTTATTCAAAGATAAAATTAAATGTAAGAGGAAGTCTGTATGTGCTGTTTTTCACCCTCACAATTAAGTCAGTGTGGTACTGTTTGCTGGGAGGAAGGGCCACTAAAAGGGGATATGCAATTACATTAGCATTTGATTAACATTGCAAAGCACATTAATGGGTTTGAGTTATATGAGTGCCAAATTGTAAAATGTAAATAAATGAATGCAACATCTTCATGGCTAAATTGAAAAAACACTTTACAAGGCGTGCTTTAACTTGTTTCTGTTAATCTGCTGCTGTCATTGACATCGCTCTGCTGGGTGTGTTTTCACCTCCGCTTTCAAGGTTGGCCCTGACAGCCGAGACAGACAAGTGAAAGACATCAAGAGAGACAAAGGCAGAGCAGAAGACAGTGTAACGAAGCCTTGCATAGAGACAGCACGGCTGCGAGACATGCAGTGTAAACAAGGTAAGCCCAGGCACAGAGCTGGCGGGTGCAGGTAATTACACAAAGAGACAGCAGAAATCCCGCTTTAATGGATAAAGTGCCATTTTTAATACAGGACCCCTTTCAACCTTTTCATCCCAGCCAATCCTCTGCTGCCTTTCTTTGTTGACAGGAAAAGAGAGAGGCATTATGGGTGATCATTTCTGCGGCATTTTAATAACCCAGGTCTGCTCATCGTGAATGTCTCATGGCAAGTGGGGAGGCTTTCAAACTGGCATGAGCACTTCAAAGCTTTCATTCTCCCACATGGTGGGCCCTTCACTAAGGATCTCATCAGTGACTCTAATAGACCTGCACAGTAACGGTGACAAGAAAATACACAAACCCTGATTTGTTGAACATATGTTTGGTTTGCTTTTTGCCCCAGGTGATGAATTGCATTAATTCCTGCTGCCTGGAAAGCGGGGTGGGCGGCTGGGCGGGGGGGCCTCAGATTACGGCCGTCACCCGGCCCACCACGAGGGCAGCCTCTGTAATGGAGGCCCGGCCCTTCATTAATGTTATTAGGGGGCTATGAGGTAAGAGGCCGAGGTGGAATAGCGTTTAGCAGTGCGGCTGAAAGATTATGGGGATTAGACATGATAATGTAACACAGACAGGGCTCTCCAGCGGGCCCGGGATTAGTGTCAGCACACCACAGCAGGTCTGGGTTAGATAGAGGCTAATTCAGTAATTCTGCATACAGGTGACCCCCGCTCCCAGGCATCAGAACTGCTGAGTGGAGGCAGTGTTTGATGAATTCATAACGTTTTTTTATGGAGGGAAATTTATACAATTTGCTCAAACTTCGAATAACTAAATAATTTCCACAGTCAGAGTTGATGATAGAAAGGAGCTTTTGAGCCATGACAGCACCGTGCTATTCTGCACACACTCCATCCCAGCTGCTCTGGCTTGTTGCAGCTGTGTTCTTGCACCTCCTCCTTACAAGTTCAAATAGCCCTGTTGAGGACATGAAGAGCTCTCTCTCAAAGGCTGTTTGATAGAGAGGAAGGAAATGCCAAAACATTTTTTTTTTCCCAGAAGAGTTAAACACAATTTGGTGTTTTTGTCTTGCATTAATTATCCACTGATCATAAAAAAGTAAATAACTCCCTCCTTAAAGTCATAGCCCATAGAAAATTTCAGTCCGCCTTCAAAAGAAAATGTCTTGTTTTGTTACTTTTCTATAATTCTGTCTCCTTATAAACAAGAAAGACTAAAATGTTTAAACATAGCACCTTTTACTAACACACTTTGAAGATTTCATACTTACTTACAAAGACTGTATGGTGGACAGATTTTCATCGTTGTCATGTTACTCCCATCACTTTTTTTTCCCAGATATTTTACACTAAGAATCATTTGCTGCAGAAAATCAATTAGCTTTTCACTCTTTATCATTCAGTCTTTACAGACTGAATCAGCCCTGTAGATTAGAAAATATTTCAGGTTGTATTAAAATGCAGATTTTCAGGTGCTCATCATTGCGTCTTTTCCTGCCTGGTTTATGTTGCAAGTTCTGCTTGTGGCGTCTTCAGGAAACGCCATTTGAATACGTTGAGGGAGGCCACGGTGGCTGAGGCACCCAGGGCACACTTTGATCCCTGCAGATCTGAGGGCCTCTTTTTTTTTTTTACCTGGGGTTGTGCGAGTCATGGAAGCCTTGCCCTGCCAGATGTTTGGAGACCAGGCTCCTTCCTGCGTCTCATCCTGCTGTCGCCTCTGGTGATCGCATTGGTTCACTTGGTCTGGAGCTCGACCTGGAGTGTTTCAGGACACCAGTGGAGAAAAAGAGAAAATTAACCATGGAAATCAAATTATTCCACCCCTCCAGACACATGCACACTCGACACACTGCCTCCATAATGCTAAAACACCGGGGCATTAACTGATGGACGGACCAGAGCCTGGATGGATCTGTTTCACCGTAAATCTGACACCAGACTAATAAAGTTTTCTCACTCTTTAGGCAAACACCCGCAGTGCTGTATTTTATGCTAGAAAGAGAGCATTAAAGCACTTTGTACTCGAGGCACTCTCAGCTGTCTGCAACCCCAACCTTTGATTTCCCGTGTTTTGTCAGTAGAAACAGTGCACGTACACACTGCCGTCGTGTAAGCTGCACACGCGAGAGGATGTCACCTCTCGTCACCTGTCTCCCGAGCCTGCATATTAATACTTCATGTTCGAAAATGAGAGACGTGTGTAGAAAGAAAGCCTTTGCTCGCGAGCAGCAGATATGATCAGAGTGCTGCTTATGCTCCTCAGCGTGGTAAACAGGATGGTGCTGAGGATCAGTCAGAGCTGACTTTATGGTTTATGAAAGCTGAGCTACTTATGTTAACAGGCTTTCTGGAGATTATAGTTGTGGTAAACACACATGTCAAGAGAGAGGCAGTCATAAATATGAGCAGAACCCAATTACCTCTGTGACTCGGAAGATAGTTAACCTGGTCGTTTGACAGAAGAAAGAGGAAGGCGGCGGAGGTGGCGTTGACTTAATAGTTATAGTTATGCCCTCTCTGAGCAAAACATGGTACAGTCAATGAGAATTGATTTTGTATGTCGCCCAGAGCTCTTTTTTTGCTTTATAGCTGTAGCTGGAGGAGCGCATTGGAGACGGAGACCCAAACTGAGGTCATCCCACACTCACCAGTATATCCTGCTTTCCTTTCACTCCCGTTTTCAGCTCTTAAACATCTCCCCACATGTTCCTCCCACCAGGTTAGCAGCCACCAGGTGCTGTTCCTTACCCCTCCACCACAACCAGAGAAACGGCAGCATCAGTGTATCAACATGCATCTGCCAGACAAATGATCCACCCTCTCCATGTTCTCCAGACAAATACTCTCCCACCCTCTAGCTGTCTCTCAGGCTTTTGATTTATCTGCCTGTCTCCACATATAGCCACGACTCAACCGGATGCCTTCAGTTTTAGGCAAATTACAGGCTCAATGTAGCGGCAGCAGAGATTTGGAAGGGATAGGAAAGACTCTACTTAGCGGAAGGAGTTGCCTCTGTCTGACGCTACCTACGTAATCCTCTTAATGTCAGTGGGAGTAGTTAACAGGATGTACTTCCAAACTACTCATCATCAGAATTCCAACAGAATAATCTCCTGAGACATAAAAATCAAGGTGGAAGAGGGTACTTAGAATTCACTGTAATTTTGCACATGTAAATTAAGTCACTTGTAGTACTGTAAGTCTTTTTTACAAAAACAAAATCTTACTGCATTATTGTTTAGGGAAATAAATGGTTAGATTTCATTTGCTGAGATTCCTTAGGATTTCACCATAAGAGAAGAATTGAGAGTTTTTTCATTGTTCTATTTCTGCCTGGCTTTTCTTGTCCTGCACATCTCCCTCAACACAACTTACTTATCACTTGTCCCGCAGGTCACACTTATAAATTACATCTGTTTAAGATTGTGACAAATGATTGACTTCTACAAAGTTCAGAGATTTCTCCTCCACGCAAACATTTTCTCTGGAGCTGAAGTTCCAAAATCGCTGTCATGGGAAATGATTGATTTCAGTGTGAAAAATTGCTTGTAAGTAACAACATCCTCTGCTCGCATTAGTGAAAACAGATGCAGGAACTTCCCTCTTTCTGCTTTATCTGTGTGATTTGATCCGTTTGTCCTTTAATTTAAAGCACATGAGTCACTGTTGAAGAATGATGACCAAGATGACAAAACCTTCTGGATAGTCTCCTCAGCTTAAGATATCTGTTTGGACTGATTTTTGTATTTGTGAGTTCTTGTGCCTGTATGTGCACGCGTGTGCACGTGTTTTTTGTGCATCTGGGTTAATGCATGTGTGGGAGAAGAGGCTGTTTCGAGGTAAAGAGAGGGGTCTGGGTTGCACATGCTTCATTTAGACATCAAAGACCCTCGCTGATGATTTTTCCTTATAATCCATGCCTTTTGGTGCCTCCGCTCCCTCCATCTGAATAAACAAAGCCCCAGTGGTTCTCCGTGGTCTGGGAGTAGTCAGGTGATTCCAGCACGTGATTTTGAAAGTAAATCGATACATCTCTAATTTATTCCACTAAAAATCCTTTTTAGCTGCTCTTTTATGTTGTTTCTGAGGTGCATTCTGGTTTCCAAGCGATTTCAAAGTGGTATTTAAAGATGTAACATGACTCATCTGCTGCTCTTTGAAAATGAAAGAGGTAGCTATCACAAAAAATAATCTTGGCCCTTTTTTATCTCAAGAAGCAAACATGTACAATATGTAAGTCCCTCACTGTGAAGAGCAAACTCTGCTTGGCTTTCTTTTGATGAGGAGGAATCAATATTGCATGAAATGCGTTGCCGCTGTATCCCCAGTTGGCTATTATTCCTCCCCACCCTAAACAGCAGACGTTACCCACGATCATTTAGCAAACCCCTGATGTGAGCCACTGTTTGACCCCTTCCTTGCTCTGCCTGCCAGTGTCCAAGCTGCACTCCCATGCCAGAGGCCAGTTTGGCAGCCTCCCTGCCTGTAATATATCTGCCGGAGCAGCATTCCTCTGGGGCTGCCCTGGATCAAATGACAGTGATTTCCCAAATAGAGGCACAGAAATGTGAGGCCTGACCCATCCTCTGATCTGCTGCACGCTCTAATCGCTGCAGGTCAGAATGGATAAATTGTGAGGCTGAACTTCTAGCCAGATCGGCAGTGGTAGATCCAAGTGATTTTCAGAAAATATCTGGTTTTGTGTTGTTTTGGTAAAGTGAGCAGCGGTTGTAGTTTGAAATAGTATTATTTTCCTCAAAGGTAAGGCTGGCATTTAATCTCCCTCACAAATGTGTCTGGATTTGTAGAGAGGAAAATGACTGAACAAACCTCAAACCCAAGAGAACTGAGACCAGAGGACCAATATAGACCAAAGCATCAAAAACACTAATCACCAGTGGGCGAGAGTGCATGATAAAAGTAATTAATTGAGGGTTGAAGGAAGATTTTAAAAAAAATGTACATACAATAATAGTTAAGAACTTCCAGAATCTATGCATAATAAAAGCCTGTGCTTTTGTGTCTCTTCAACCATGGTAATATTTGTAGCCAACTGAATTCTAGAAAATTTCAAAGACGGCATCATCATAGCAGAAACATACAGGTTGAAATTTCTCATTCTGTCACGAGAATAGGTGGGAAATTCCTATATCCATTCATTACATTCCACTGGTCAAAGTCCATATGAGAACAAAACTAGCTGTCGTGATAGGTGTAGGGAGATTGACTAAGAAATGACCAAGAAATTGGTAAAGAAAGTACCATGGCTGAAAATGATGCAGAGATGTTTCATCCTCCACAAAGCCATTTTAAACGGATGTGCAGAGACACCAGCTGGAATAGAGCAAGTTAATCTGACAGCTGCCAAGATGAACTTTTTGCCGTTTGGCCTCTCGTTGAGTAAAATTTAAAATAGGGGCAGCAGCATAAACTTCCAGACAGCTTTCACTTAGGTTTTCACTTGAAGAACAGGGCAGCTCCATCCTCCCCCGACTTCGTTTCAACTGAAGAAGAGGGACTCGCATATTGTTATGCTTGCATAAAAGCAGGTTGAGTCAGTGTTTCATTTTTTGGTTGTTTTACGTATTCGCTCTCCTGATAAACCACATGCATGTATACGATAGCACAAGCATGCCATGCAGACTTTTATACAACAAGATTTAAATTTGGAGCTGTTCTGTGACATAAGGTTTCTTTAGTTGTGATCTTATTCTTTGATGCAAATTTCAAGGGAATAAAGCATTTGCGAGCCCATTCCAGCTTCATTAGCAGAACGCTGTCCTACTTACAAAGCTCCTGAACTAAGATGTACGGTTTGAACATTGCATTTCCCACAAAAGTTTGTTGAAAACGATTGAGTCGATCTCTGTTAAGATTTAAAACGCAATGGATCAAACCATTTTTTCCAAGGATTTTTTTTTCCTGCTATTTTTTTCAGTGTATGAGATTTCTCCAAATATCCTCGAATACTCAATGGGTAATAAGGATTCCCATGGTGGGCAGTTAGCACCTCCAAGCTAGGGCAGATAAGATTCATGGTAAAAGTTCGCTAATATCTCTGAACTGACAGGAACTTTTTGGGCATTTACAAAGTGTGACTTTAGCTAACCTGTGCTGGTTTCAATAACATCAAGGAAAGATTGGAGGGGTGGAGGGAGACCCTGCTCTTTGATGTGTAGGATTGAGATGTGATGAGGTCTGTTCAAAGTGAGTACAAAGTAGTGTTAAGATGGGAAGAGCAAATGCTGCTTTAGTCAAGGTAGAGACGCAGAGGTAGAAGCAGATGATGAAGAAATGTCCTGTCTCTTCCGGAACACTGGCAAAGAAGATGAAACGTTATCAGGTATTAAATATAGATGCTTCCATGTAAAAGTGTCTGGGATTTTGTAAGCCATGAATTTTAAAAACTCAGAGTGAGCAATGAGTGGTGAGCCCCCAATGTTGTCTTATGTTTGAATAACCGCATCAACACACAGCCTCATTATGTTGGTTAAGTCTTCCACTGTCTGAGGTGCAGTGAATGTTTGTTTTTTTACTAAACATATCTAACAATAGGCTAGCCTCACAAGAACAACAGACGGCTTGAAATAATAAACAGCACTTTAGAAACAAGAGAGAATCGTGTGCATTTAAGGGTGCAAAGAGAGAAGATTTTATATGCATAAATCGATTAGTTTGAATATTGGGCTCTGCAAACAACTAACTGCTGAAGGGACCTGACTTGTAATAGAGAACGGAAGGGAGGAACACGTAGGCACAGGCCTGTTCATTCATTTGGATACAGAGGAGACATGAAAGCTGATACGTTAGTGTGTGTTTCTAAGAAAAAACTGAAACAACGGTAGAAATAATTTTTATATGAAAATGCGTGATGACCACCCTCTGTTACCAGGAACTACTCAAAACATAACATAATCACAAGAGCAAAAAATAAACTTTATCACATTAATTTCCACTGTATTGGGCAGCAAGAAAATGTAACTAACACTCATTTTATTTCATTCTTGAATTTATTTCCCTTTTTAGGTGAGATAAACAAAATGCTTGAGCAAAGATGTGCAAAAAAACTTGAGAAAGTGCAGTTTTTTTTTTTTATCGTTGAAGGATTTTCAAGGGAAGGGGTCGACATTTTTGTAAATTCTTTTAATTGCTTTCTTTCAGAATCAAGTGAAGAAGTTTTTACTCTGCATCTGTATGCAAAATATAAAGCCAGAGCTGGGTAGGGTAGGTCAGCTTACTAATTTGTTGGCTCACTGGTGAGGCCCCACTACATCTCACCCATCAGTGGTGTCGCCCTGTCAGATATGAGTGGCACCTTATGTTCTTCCAAAATGACTTCAAATTCCACAGGCTTCGGCAGAGTGGCATAAGAGGAATACATGTATCTACATCCAAACAACCCATTCAGTTTCTGTAGGCTGTTTATGAACAGCCAGAAGGATTGTGTCATCATGTATTCATGAAAATGATTATGGAGCGATGAAATAAGGCCGATAGAATATAGCGAGTCAAGCAGAGTTGACCTCCTCATAGCTGTCTGTGAGTTCTTGTGGTGTAACCCCCAGTGGAAGTTCATTTTAAAACTGAATTGATGAGATTGGGTCTGTTTTTGTGGGTTTGCTTTTGCTCAAGCTGCTCTACCTGGGTGTATAGATGTGATTTAATGTGCTCTACATGTAAACATTACTGTCATATTACCCTGTTATTGAGTCAGCTCATCAGTGAAATTACATAATCTGACTTAACCACATTTAAGAATGTTTCAGTGACTTTTCTGTCATGCACATTAAAAGTCAGCCACAGTTTCCAGTTTACTGCTGCTGTCGTCATTGTCGGTATCATGTTGGTGCTTGTTGTTTCGCCTGCTTGGATCCTTGCCCTGATTTTCCCTCTGTTGCAGGTCCAGTGATGAAGCTGCAGCAGAGGACTCCTCGTCGCCGTGGCCAGCAGCCCAAGCTGCTCAACAGCCCCGAAGACAGCCTGTACTACAACCAGCTAAATGTGAGTTCAAAGTGCCGATAAAGGCCTTTGTCTGACTTTGGTTCCACATGATAATACAATTAAACCTACCTGTGCCAGACCCTGGAGCCCCACCCCCACGCTTCTCTGCCTCTTGTCTTGAACATGTGCTTATGCTCTTTATCTGTTGCTTTCATGTCAGGATGTCTGCCTTCACGGTGAATAATTGATGTGGTTTATCAAAGCTGAGCAAGATGCATGCTTCATCAGACTCACTTGAGCCCTTTGATCAGAAAAAAATTATGCTGTGACTTCTGATATTATCAGCATCTGCTCACATTCAACACAAAATCACTTTGAATTAAAAATTAATGACTCTCTGCTCATCTTTTGACTGTGTGCTCTTGGCCCTTTCCTCAGAGAACTCTGGATTACCAGGGGAGCAAGAGGAAGCCGAGAAAACTTGGGTAAATAACTGCTTTCCTACTTGCAGCAGCTCTAAACAGAGCGGGCCCTTTGTGGAATAGGAGAATCCCGAAATGGAGTTGTTTTCATATAATGTAAATGGAGAGCCGAAAATAACAGGCTATGTATAGGAGGTTGTTGTGCATCATTAGAATAGGGGATTACATATTAGGCCTTTGTCAGCACACTAATTTTAATTGTTGAGGACGTTTCTTGCATTTGTACCATAAGTGACATTCTGCTGCACAGCACTGCTTAAGAATGCACCTGAACGCATCATCGCTGCATGTTCAAATATTGCTTTTACTGGAAAACATCTGTTTTTTTCCCTCCGTGAAAACTTCATCACTTCTCTCTGTAACCCTAAACTTCTCTTCTCTTCCTCTCTCCCATCACAGTCAAGTCAAAGTGCTGGATGGAGAGGATGAGTACTACAAATTACTGTCAACTGTTGAGTCGATCCCTGAGGAAGAGCACGGGACCGCCCCCCCTCCCTCCCTCTCCAGCGGGCCTCTTGTCAGTCAGAGCTGAGCCTCCCAACCATGTCAGTCGGTAAGACAGACACGTCAGACGTGTAGACAGACACTCCAAAGAAGCGTCCTGAGCGTTGGAAGTGCTTTGGTATTTGGAGCAGGCGGCAGTGGTGCAGAATAAGTGACATGTGCAGGCTTTGCTCTCATCCGTTAAAGCACAGTGGTCAGAAGGCATTGAGGAACAGTTTATTCATTTCAATCAGTGATGTAGCCTTGCCCTATTTTCTCCTTATTTTCAGGCTTTAGACAGGATGATGCTCATTGATAGTGAGACATGTTATATTTTTGAGGAAGACGGACTTTCTAACCAGCAGTTATAGACGTGATCTAACTTGTTTCGAGCTTTGCCTTGCTGTGGGAGGGGTGGGCCAATTTGTGAAAACATTTTTAAAAAGTCGCAGTAAAGCATTTCAGTATTAGCAAATTATCCCAAATGTCCAAGCTCCTCACAGCTGGAACGAACAGTTATTCATGCAATACGGGCATTTTCTCATTTCGTTACTGCTAAACAGTGTAAACAGTTACATATAATTCCAAACCTGCAAAAAAGCAAAGTCTAGCTGTTCTTCATGCTTTTTTTTTTGACCAGTCAGTTTAACACTGCTTCAGTAAGAAGTGCCTCTCAGCTCTGCCGTTTAAACCTGAAAGGGAAACATCTGCCTATTTTTAAGCATTCTGTCTCTTGTCTAAAACAGATCCAGAGACAAATCCTCATGAAACCCAGAACTCTTTAGACGAGTTCTCCCACTGCGACTTGCCTGTAGTTAGAGGGGCTTTGTGCTGTCTGATAGCTGGAATCACCACACAGAGCTTCACAGAGGCTGAGGCAGACCTCACTTTGAATTTCACCCTAAATACAGGAATTTTCTTTCAAGACGTGAAGTGAAGGAAACGCAGGGCTGGTGAGTTGATTTGTAGAGCTTTTTTTTTTCTTTTTTCAATTTGCATATCATTTACTGCATCTCCCTTTGTTGACACCCGAGGGCCTGAGTGGAGATTTTGATCTTAATAGGAAGAGTAGGGTGGTATGACTGAGGATCTCATCCTCCTTATGCTCAGCGGGGAAAACATTAGAGTTCTGCCTTGATAGCGAGACCAGCTTCACTTAGGTTCAGACTCACAAAAATCATGGTGGATTAAAGAGGCCAAAAGTGCTCTCAAATACAACAGTTCGGGGCTTTGAAGGCCCCTGTCAGTTGGAGACACTGACTGACTCACCACTGCGATGTTCTTCCTGATATTTCACAGCTTTGACGATGCTTGTGCGATCAAAACTTGCGTTATGTCAGTGAAATTTAATTTGGGACGACGGTGTGACTGTCTCTGTACACTGTAGTCTCCTCCAACTGTAGTCAGGCTCTTTGTGAGTTATGCGGCCACAACCTTTATTGAGGTGATTGAGAAAGTTTTGAAAGCTGTCCATCGTGGTAATCATTCCTAAAGCAAACTCTGACTAGAGTAGAACAGTTTGAGCGAAACTGGATCAGATCCGCTGTAAAAGAATGTGTATCAAGAACATCAGATATAAAAGATTTGTAACCATTGTAATATTGGATTATTTTTACTATTATCATTGTTATCAAGACTACTTATCTCCTCATACTTAGAAACGTCGACTGAACAGTTTCTATTCCTTTTTAAAATCATTTTGAATTATTTATTGAGCAATCAGCATAGTTTTAGCTGCTTCTAGAAATTATAAACTTAATGTATGATGAAGGACTAGTAGGAGGATAAAGTAGTGCCATTACATAGAAACAGTAAGATAAAAAAATCTTAGAATTGCTCCAAATTACAGTATTTGAGTAGATGTATTTCTTAATGACTAACAAGATGGGCCATATATAATTCAATGAAATGTTAAAACAGCATTGATCTAAAAACTGCTTTATGGCCCCCTTTAGAACCTGTGTAATTAAACCTTTGTCTTGAGGGATTATCGTCAAAAATAAGTCTGTAAAAATTCAAAGAGTAATCACCCAGACCACAGTGCAGTGGTATAATGTGGTGTCACACTTAGTTCAGACGCATTTCACCTCTGGTCGTAGCCACAGATCCTGCAATAATTAAGATCCTCGTTGTGCATAACTCCCTCGCTGGGGTAGTTGGTTCCTCTGAAGAGCACTCTGAAATAGGTCACCCCAGCACCCTGTAGTGCATCTTAAAAGTACACTGAATCAATTAAGTGTGATCATGCTCCCTTGATTATTTTGGCCCTGTTTTACCACAGAGAGGAATTTCAAATAGGCTCACTAGTTTGAATAACAAGGTTGGACTGTGATGACAAATGGTGCCAGAGTGGGTGTTTCTTCCCCTGTTTTTTGCTGCCAAATTAACTCCCTGGCTGATTGCCTGCTTTAGCATATGAGAGGAGGTGAGCAGAGGTGTGTGTGTAATTACCTCAGATGGCTGATTATGTGCTTCAAAAGGCAAATGTTATGAAATGCTGGTGTCACACAAATGACAGACGTTCTGACCAGATGAACAGAGGCTCCCGGTGGCCTCGCGGCTCCGCAGGCTCGACGCTGGGAGACGTGCACGGTGTCAGAATACCAGGCCTGACACCTGTGTTTTCTTTAATGTGTTTTTGTAATTCCAGCTCACTCTTGTTTTCCCTCATTAAATCTGACAACATCTGGCATGTGGGAGAGCACGCCTTTAATGTGGCTAGCCTTGCTGCTGGTGTTATTCTTGCCATTTTAGCTATTAGCTTCATGTGCTGCTCGTTCATTAAAGCTGCAGCCGCACGCTTTTTTTTTTTTCCTCAAGTTTTCAACTACCTTCATGAAAATCGCTGCATCAAGCTGCAGCCTCAACAAATGATGAAAAGCTTCTTTTTGTCTAAAGAAGCATGCTTACCTTTTCACCTAATAGGGATGTCTTACTTCAAAGAGAGAGCATGATTAGGCCAACATTGTCCTGTTTCTATATCCTTTGAGTTCAAAGGGAGAGTTTCAATAAAGAATTTCACATGCAACCTCCTCAGCCGCTGTGTGCCTGCAGTTTACGTGCATCTCCTCACCATATGTGTCTGATATTTAACCCACTAACAAAATCACACCATGTAACTGTTGAATTGTCTTTTCTGCAGGTAAGGCTTTAGCACTCGGCATGACTCAGAAACCTTTTTCTTTCCTCCTGAAATACTGCAGTGTGAGGGCCCGAGCAAATGCCTGTAATAGCTCCAAAACTTTGCATTGTGACACTGTTTGGTGGCTAATGATTAAAGAGAGTGACACACACGAGCATCAATCAGACGTCAGATGTGCGTCGAGGACTCCGAGTAAAAGAAACATTTCCTAAAGACGGCGTTAATAAAGAAACTGGTCGAGCCGGGTAGAGACACAAAGAGTAAGAGGCATAGAGGAAGAATGAGATAAAAGAGTCTGTGGAGTACATACATCAAAGCTCTCTTAATGACAAGGGATGCCATTAGGGTTACAGTGGCTTTTGTTTCAGCTTCCTCTCACCTGCAGTTTGGAGAGAGGCCTCTGTGCTCTGTTTTGTTGTTAACATTTGCATTAATATAAAATGCATGCAGGCGGGGATAAGAGTGTGTTCCCAGCTGCTAATCTTAGAGGTGACCAACTGTTTCAGTCAAAATTGCAGCCTCCTTTTCATTTGCAAAGCAGACATGGTAACCTTAAACCCCCCCCCTTAAAATGGGGAAAGCTCACATAGAAACAATATGGGGGGGAAAACTCTTAGCCTGTATGGCATCAAATATATTGACTTAAAAGTTTTGCCGGTGCCTCCGGTGCTGGAATGGGATTTGACAAATCAGAGCGTGAAATTATGATTAGCCTCTCTCAGTTTGGAGACCGAGCGGGGAACCAACAGACTTGGCATGGCCAAAGGTGTAACCTGTTTAGTTTTGCCCCAGCATCGCTATCCCAGATGGTGGGACCAGCTGCCATTGAATAAACGCTGGACTGGTAACAGTGTGAGGATTATCACGGCCTTGTTTCTGTTTGGGATGCATCACAGAATGCTTGTTGTTTTTTGGCCACGGCCGGGAAGAACTGGAACGATCAGCCGGTGACCAACCACGCTGCCCTCTGAGGGAATCCACCAGACATAGTGCCCAGCTCCCTGAGACCAGGAATAAACATTTAACTGCCACTTTATAAACCAAATGCTTTAGTTTTTGTTTTTTTGCTTGCAGCTTTCCATTTATTGTTGTTTGCAAGCTTTATTAGAGGATGGGCATGGATAACATCTCTCATGTTACAGACTCATACAGACAATAAACGTATAGATAGTGGATTTAATTAATTTCTTCCTCAAAAATCAAACAAATATCTATATATTCTTCACCTTTTTTGGGACCTGCATATTAAGCTTTGATCTTATTTACCACTTGTAGTCTGGTTTAACTGCTTTTCGTTGATCGAAACAAATAAAATGCAAAAAGCTGAGTCCTTTTTCTAAATTTACTGCTCATAAAGTATTAAAATGATTGGCCTTTGATAAGTTCCTAATAAATCTATGCAGGCCACAGGTGGTTTTGCCTGTCTTAAAAAAAAGGAATCAAATCAGATTAGGAAACAGGAGAATATTTGCTTAATCCAAGTACATCTCCATCAAAGTGTGTAATCATGTATGAGAATAAATATTAGATGGATATTTTTATTTATTTTCGAGCAGAAGCATTGCTTGGGACTTAAACAATCCACTTTAGAGTAAATGCATTTGACATATATCCTGATTAAATCCAACAAATTGCACAGAACCATCATACATCAAAACACCTCTATTCCTAAAAGCAGAATGTTTGGTGTGGCGTATTCTTGAAAGTTGTAAATCTCATCCTGCCTGCCCTCTAAAAGTGGGTTAAATTAATTAATTAGTCATTCCCCCCCCCCTTATCTTCCAGTAACTATCTCCTATAAATTTAAAAAAAAAAAAAAAAAAGAATAATTCCACTACAGCACTGGGGATAAAACGTTATCTTTATGTAGTCAAAGATTTAAAATGTTCCAGATATTTGCTTTGAAAAAACAGGTTTTCTCTTTTTTTAAATAATTTGATGAAAAAATTCCAGAAAAGCCATGAGTAATAAGTAATTATTCAGGTTTAAAAATGTTTTTGCACAGCTATGCAATTGCTGCTTCCTTTAGCACAAGTTATTTTTCTCAGGCACTCTGGGGAGGAAATATAACTAAGGCACATTTCCAGCACAAGAAATATATTGTAAACTAATATCTGAAATTGTGTGTATGTTAAACACACACCCCCTGCTCATGAGAGCTGACAGCACTTCAGCACATCTGATTTGAAGGTGATGTGTTAATATCGTAATGTTTCCTGGGAGGGTTCCGCTGCCTGGAAGCCTGTACATAATCATAGAAGGGGCAGAGTTTTCCTCTTTAAGGCTGGATTAAAGCATCCAGGGTGGGCTGAGGGAAGGTAAAATGACCTGTCCCGCCTTACGTGACCTGGGGCAGACTCTGCACACTGCCAAGGCTTTGCTATTTGCTCTTTAATATTCAGAGATCCCCGGCTTCATAGGCTCGAAAGAGAGAGTAAAGGGGGGGGGGGGGGGTTAGAGCTGTATCGCGTTGCAGGGAAAATTAGTGAGACCAAAGTTGGAGTTTCTGTGTGTTGGGGGCTGCGAACAATGGCAGCTTTCTGTCAGACAGCAACTTCAAAGGTCTGCTGAGTGACTGCTCTGAGTTATACTTTGTTGTAGATCACTGAGGAAATTCACAGATGTTTTCTCATACGAGACACCATTATAGCGGCTCAAGTACCCAGTAGCCTGGAGCATCTCTCTCCCCCGTCTCTGTCTCTCCCACACACTCACCCTCAACCCACCCTCCTTCCTCACTCTCTGAAATCTCTTGTATGAGACAGATGTGGGACCTACTTTTTTTTTTTCTCCAAGTGTCCAGAGAATACGGGAAGTTGAAAAGGGCTCGCACTGTGGTGTTTTTCTGTGACTCAAACGTGCAGCCCCCACCGCGTCCACTCAGTGTCAAGATCATATATAGTTACCACTTCCTCACATTTACCCTTTCTCTGCGGTGCAACGCCAGAATCAGTTAGATTATATTAATATCAAATGTATACATATGTAAACAAATAATAACGGGAATTCTCAAAAATGTGGGTGTAATGGTCTTTTTCTTCTTTTTTTGTAGGTTGCCTTCTTCACCTTTTTGAACAGAACCAAAACCAACTTCATATCAAGAATACACTTGACTTCTACACTTGTAAATTTATATTTATTTCTTGTAAACTAGTCTTTTATATAAGTCAAATGAATGGGATTCAATAATTGTGTCTTGATCATCAGTGTATTCCTCACAGTTCTGTTTAGTGCTGTAATATTATCACAATGTAACATTTTAAAAACACATATCAGATCCAGAATGTTTTCTTTTCACTACATGGATCGAGAATATCATTCTCTGGCTGTAAATTTAGATTTTGGATCTGCTGATATTTATGTGATTGTTCACATTAAAGGGAGTGACGAAATAACAGGTTTCACCTTAAATGATCTTTACGGGAATAATAGTAAAGATCTTAACCTTTTTCAGAAGTGACATTCTGAAGAAGTTTTTACCTCATAGGGATCTTCAATTTGTGTTGTTAGACCAGAACGATACAACACACAGGTACTGTATGTTTCCATCACATTGTCTGGGATAAACCTTGATTCACTAATACATTAATGTACTTCATACTAAATTTAGAGTAAGCAAACCTTTGAGATAATCTGGGACTGGACCCTATGTGAAGCATTCAACCATGAATTTTGTGCAAAAGAGCCTTTCGACCCTATCCATCCAGCCACTTGAGTCATACTGAGGTGGATAAAAATGCAGTAGCGTTAAGACTAAGACAAACATCCCAACGGAAGATTTTAAAAAATGTGTTCTTGCTGGTGGCTCATCTAACATGACTGAAGATTTGCCTTGCACGTCGGGACAGCTTGTATTCAAACTGACGCATGTGTAAATCCAGCCCACATTCAGCCTTTACCCATGTGAATTTAAGAGTCGTAAGGATGACAGAAAAGTCTAAATTTTGTTTTAGGCTGGATTCCCCCTCCTTTTTAACAGACCCATGGTTTGACATAAAAGAGCAGATTATAACATGTGACATTTATCTGGCATTTAAACCTGGAAGTAAAAACTGACGGCATTTTGCTGCATAAATACAAACCTCGGAGAGGATTTTACAAATGTTTGTCGCTTTCGTCTGAGGTTGCAGGTATCAGTGTTTTTAAAGGAACCACTTACCCCCTTTGTTTCTGATGGGGGATGCTTGTTCAAAACTAAAGTACAGTTCACAGTAGAACTCAATTTGGATATTTTTGTTGTGAAGCTCAAACCATTGTAACACAAAAATAAATAAATGTGAAAATAAGAGAAAGGTGAACACACTGCAACAGCTCCCCAATCATCCCCTCTATCCACGCCTTCACAGGTGAAGCCATTCAATACACCAAAGCCCGTGTCCCTCGAAACGAGTTGAGCCTGACCGGAGGGGGTGACTCTAAGGTATTTTAGTTTCCCTTTATAAAGAGTTGTCTCTTTTTTCATAGGGGTCATGGGTTCTAACAGTTTTAGCATGCACTAATGGTTTTTAGAATTGTTACAATTAATACAAACAACTTTGAGATTGCAAATTTTAACGCCACTTTTCCTCCATCAACATAAAATCTTTTTTATAAACACCCATTAACTGAAGTCCTGTTGACGCCCTGAATGATGATTCACTAAAGCAGACCAATTTTTGGGCTTAAATAATCTCTCAGTGTTAATCTTAAAACTTTTTAATAGCATCTAAACCCATCATCATTAGCCAGTTGATCGCTCCTTACCGTTACTGAGCCCCTTTGTGTCAAACTCAATAGATGTGCAGTTTGTAATGACTGGCCTTATTAATATTTCATAAGTTTTGATAAAATGCTGAAATACGTTGATTACAAAAAGGATTTGATAGTAGGTTTTAGCTAATATATTATTTGTAGTGTTTGTTTAGTTTGTTTAAGAATTTATAAATGTGAAATCTTTTACACCTCTGTGTGTAAAAGAGTTGCTTTAAAGTAATTATTTTGCAAATTGTAGACTTTAAAATGGTGTTGTTCAGAATTCTAAGCAATTTGTGTCCAGTTTGTCTGTTTTTGGTCATGTTTTTTATGTAGGATCTGCTGCCATTAAAAAAAAAAGGTTGGAAACAAGGTTCATCTCCTCTATTTTTTTTGTGTGCGAGACGACACACGCAGCAGCCTGCGTTGTAGTTTAACATGGCTCCAGTGCAGCCCAGCAGGACCCCCCTTTCCCTCATGACTGTGTGTAAAGCCGTGGGAGAGGACTGGGAACATTAATCCCTTCAAAGGAACAGATCTAATTCAAAATCTGCCGCTCCAAACTCGTTGAGAAGACAGTGATTGTTTCTGCAGGGAAGCCAGATAAAGATCACAGAGTTGAACGACAACTTCAGTTTCTCCAGCTCTGCCACAAAAGTTTGGGTTGTTATCTTGTGAAAACTGCATACTTTTCCCTAATCTAAATGTTCTGGAACAAGAAGACGGATGTTATTACAGGACGCATCGGCTCAGGATGTGTGTGACACACCTGTGTTTTAGTCTGACCCAGTCATTCTAAAGGTGATGCACCTTTTTCTGGTCGACTGACAAACCTTCTATCAGAGAAACACCTATAAACACCCCATTTAAAGTACCGCTGCTTTCTCATATCAGATGTTTAGTTTGACTGACGTTCAGGGATTATTTTACTAACTTTCATTTGAAAGAACATTCACTTGAATTACCTGCTGAGTGTTTTCCTGCAGGCTCCTAGTTTGCCAGAGAGTCAACTTTAATGCTCAACAAAGACGGAGAGGCAAAAAAAATATGATAAAACAGCTGATTGAAACAACTGGGGGAGAAAAAAAATTCAGAGAGGGCATAATTAAGTGTTTAATGCCAAGTTGTAGTTCAAAGGCACAACAAAGAAATCTTAATTCAAATTAGAAACGAGAAAAGAGACGCAGATTCTTCACAGATGAGAACTTTGTGTTGAGTCACTTGATTTGGTCTCTTTCCTCCATCAAACAGTCAGGGAACGCTCTTGGAGATCTCCAGAGATAACAATGTCACATTGTCACATAGGGTTCTGCTACAAATCCTTAATTACAAAAAGAGGATCAGATGACTACAGCATCCAATACCGGGGTCTCCAGGCGGCATGGGGGTCTTTGATCAAGAAAATCCAATTATTTGTGTATATACATTTCCCACATAGTGATTACTTCATTAATTGTCCCGCCTTTATCTCCTCCCTTCCCAACCCCCCTAATAATCAGCTCCTTTATCCAGACCAACAAACACACCATAGGAGCTTTGTGGATTCAAAGGATTTGCTTTCCCCTCTCAAAGAGCCGCCATTCTTTGATGATTGGGCAGCGGCAAACTTCAAAGTAATAAATCTTATTTCTGACTGGCTGGCGGCCCACCAAAGTCCTTATCAAATTCTAAGAAGTGATCCCTCACTCTTCAGATACACCAAGGATATATCGGAGAGAGGACGAGCTGCGGAGAGCCGCTCCGGCACACATTTCCCAGTCAATGCAAGTCTTATTTTCATTTAGCGCCTTTATTTAGACTCCGTTCGCACCGCGAGGAGCAGGAGGACGTTCGCCATGGCAGCGGTGGCCGTTCTGCGGAATGAGACTCTGCAAGCTTTCCTCCAGGTTTGCTCAACTTTCTTTGTACTTTAACCGCTTTGACAACTTGTAAAGTGGCGCTTTTGCTCTCGCCCCGCCGCATGTCAGCGCGAGCATGCAGAATAGCCCCCATTCCACCCCACTGCTTAGTCCAATGGCTTTGTTTTGGTTTGTTTTTGACTTTTTGAACTGGTTAAACGGTGATCGCGATGTAAAAGCGTTTGTGTCTGTCGATCCAGGACCGCACTCCCAACTCCTCTCCGGAGCACTGTAAGCACTCCCCGCTGGCTCTCTTGGCGGCCACTTGTAACCGGATCGGGCACCATCACGGATCCAACCCCACAGACTTCCTCCAGGTGCCCTACGACCCCACCCTGGGCTCCCCCTCGCGCTTGTTTCACCCGTGGACTAGCGAGGGGAACCCTCAGAGCGGACTGGGGAGCAACTCCACTTTCGGACTATCCTCCAAGCCCCAGCTGTCCGCGCACATCCAGACCTCCTTCAGCTCCCACCACGAACTGCCCCTCACCCCTCCGGCCGACCCCTCCTACCCCTATGACTTCTCCCCGGTGAAGATGCTACCTTGCTCCATGCAGTCCCTGCAGTCCAGCTGCCCCCCCACCTACGTCCCGGCGGTCAGCTACGCGGCCCCGGCGCCCATCCCGCCGGCCATGCCCACTTTCGTCACGGGCCCGTCCGGCCTGGTGCACCACCCCCACCACCCCCACCCCCACCAGCAGCACCAGAGGCAGCTGTCCCCGAGCCCCGGCGAGGACATCCCGTGGTGGAGCCTCCAGCAGGGCAGCCACGTCAGCCCCCCGGCCTCCCTGGCCCCGCACCGCTTCCAGCTGCAGCGGGGCCTGGTGCTGGGCCACACGGACTTCGCGCAGTACCAGACGCAGATCGCCGCCCTGCTGCACACCAAGTCCCCGCTGGCCACGGCGCGCCGCTGCCGCCGCTGCCGCTGCCCCAACTGCCAGTCCTCCTCCTCCTCCTCCTCATCCTCCAGTGACGAGCCGGGCAAGAAGAAGCAGCACATCTGCCACATCCCCGGCTGCGGGAAGGTGTACGGGAAGACGTCCCACCTGAAGGCGCACCTGCGCTGGCACTCCGGGGAGCGGCCGTTCGTCTGCAACTGGCTGTTCTGCGGCAAGAGCTTCACCCGCTCCGACGAGCTGCAGAGACACCTGAGGACTCACACCGGGGAGAAGCGCTTTGTGTGCCCGGACTGCTGCAAGAGGTTCATGCGCAGCGACCACTTGGCCAAACACGTCAAAACGCACCAGAACAAAAAAAGCAAGTGCCACGACAAGACGCTCGACCACGTGAAGAGGGAGGACGCGAGGAGTCTGCTGTAGGGCTCCCAGCAAGTAGGCTTCCAGTAAACATAGTGCAATACAGTCAGTTAGTCCCACAGTGAGCTGCGTTTTCTATAGGTTCTTTTCTACTATTTTAATGGTTGGTTTTCCTACATCTTTCCAATAGTTTTGATCATTGCTGGTCTGTGTAGCACCTTTTTTTTTGTTGTACATAAAATCAATTTTGATAAGTTAATTCTGGACCATGGAGAAGTTCTAGTTCATAAGTTTGAATTCACTGTCTATATCATATCAAGGAAGACAAGTTTTCAACTTGTGTTTTGATCATTGTCTTCGGTGGAAGATTTCACTCCCCTGTAAATGATATTTAATAGCTTTTGTTGAATGAAAGTGTCTGTTTTTTGCTCCTTATGGGGTGTTTTTAAGCATGCTCTTGAAAAGATCTGCTATTGTTGATATGACCCAAATACTGTGTGAGAATAAAAGTTCTAAGATTTTCCTCATCTCAGAAGAATTCCTTCAGCATCTGCTGTCAAGCAGGGAAATGGAGTAATGTTTCTGTTTTGCAAAAAAGAATTGGCTAGCATCACGTTCCCCACTTTTATTTAAAAAATGTGAAATGAACTGAGTAACTCAGCACTGTATACCTGCAAACGTTTAGTTTTCAGCTTTTTAAAAAAAAGTTGTATTTATATTTTGTCTGCTCTAAAGATGAAAAAACATATCTTATTTTGTGTTCATTTGTTTTTGTCGCAAACAAATCAGACTTTAGCAAAAAAGGTAAGTTCCTGCAAGGTGTAATTTGTTCTTAGAAAAAAAAACTGTTAGGATCTGTGAAATAATGCTGCGCGGTTGAAAAATTCATGTGTTGATTTTGTTCCCATGGAAGAAAAAAATACCCAAAATAATCAACATGAAGACTTGCTCTTCATCATATATGTGACAAAATGCACAAACTGTTTAACTTTATTCCACTTTCATCATGGTCATGTTGATCTGTTTCTCTCTTTCACTGTTCAATCACAGTTGAATCTGAAATCCACGATTCCTTCCAGTTCCCGTTAACGTTTGTTCTGTTATGTCTTTAGAACTGAGACTGGACCCTAAAATCTGCTCAGAATGGAACTGGCTTTGTCTCAGTAAATGACAGGAGGTATCCTTAGGTGTCACATGAGTTTAGACTTGAAACCTGCTTTTTCCAGGTTCTTCTGACGGTACGAGCGCCACATGCATCTCTAACCCGAACGCTTTGCTCAAAGGCACACTGGAGGGCTTGGATCTGCTCCTGCTTCATGATCACTTGTAAGAGAAAGTCCACACTGACTTCCTCCTCTTACTTTTAAAGTGTGTTGACCCTCTTCAGAAAAAAGATAGATTAAAAAATCTGATTTTCTAGCATCAAGGCATTTCCCTCCTTGATTGTGGTCTTCATGAAGAACAGATGACAGCTCTGATAGGGACTCTGTTGTCCACTCTGTCTTATGTGGGATCACTAAAATTGTCAGAATGTGGGGATAGCTGCCCTTCCCAGGCTTTTTTTTTTTGCTGCCTCAACAGCGCCCCCATTTGTAAGTTACTGTAGACCACTACCACAGGTCCATCTAAGGAGTGTGAAGACATTTAAGAGAAGTATTCAACCACATGTTTTCGGAGATCCTTTAAAACCTAACTTTAAGCTACTGTTTGAGTCAGTTCCATTTTATAACACTTCATGTTATATCACATTTATCACAGAAGACTAGGAATTAATTAAAAACTGGATTGTAGAATGAGATTTCACCATTTTAACTGTTAAGTATATATTGAAATCTAATCCGTTTAGAAAATTGCCTATTAATAGATCTCTTGGACAAAGTGGGACTGGCTATGCACAAAAGCTGTGATTAGTCTTTATTGTCCGAGACAGAGTGACTAATCTTTGACTCTGCTGGAGGCCATAATGCGGAAATGTTCATTGCAAGGACGCAATATGCTGTATCTTAAGTTTACTTTCCAAAACTAGACAAAAGATTTAGGATACTCCGAATTTCTTTGTGCAATACAATGGCCCAAATTTTATGAAAATTATATCCTGACTGAAAGAAAAACATATG